TCTTGAACTTCAGACTGGTTCACACAATCAGAGTGACTCTAGTAGTAGAGAATAATGCATGGCACTCTTTTTTAAAGCACTAACCCACATGCAGGTTGTGTGCTCTGCCAAAGGGCCACAGACCCTCCTCAACCAAACTTTCTCCTAAATCGGATGTTTTATTTACATTAGCAGAAAAACCCAAGATATCACTTAAGGAAGAATAGTTGTCTAAAATTTCTAATTCAGAAAGTTTCTAACCATTTACAGTGAATACCTGATATATCTTACACCTGGAAACTTGGTCCTTTTGAGGCTGGAGTGAGGATGGATTTGAAACTAACTTTGCCTTTTGGAAAAATCAAGACATCTGCATACAGATTTGGTCGGGGCTCACCAGGAACCAGGAACAAGAAGTGGTATTTGTTTAAAGTTCAACATGCTTGAGCACTAATGTTTGCATTGTGTTTGATCCAGTTCCAAAGAGCTGTATGTAGTAACGGAGCTTTTCCGGGCCCTGTTCTCACAGTAGACCCTCCCTCTCTGCCCCTCCCTCCCTCTCTCACACACAATAGCTGTGTATGTGGGGAACCCTCCAAAGTAACATTCAGTTTGACACAAGAGACTAGAGCCAGAAAAAGAAACTCCATCACCTTATTACATACAAAGCTCTTTGGATTCCACTATTACTCTTCAACATGCCACAAACACCCCTCCCATTTTCCTTGTAAAGTAAGTTAATATCACTATCCAAATATGCTAAGTGAATTCCCCCTCCCAAAGATTCCGAAGAGGAAATAAGAATTTCAGGTCTTTCATTGTATCACTTGTTCTGAATTTTGAAGAATTGCCATCCTTATGTGGGTTTTTAAAAACACAAACCAGGCATCTCTGGCACATAGGAACTTAGGAAGTTGTTTTACGCTGGGTGGGTTTGCACATCAGGACAACCCAGTGTGGTGATTTGCCACCGGGACTCCCTCCAAGGTGCTGCTGGGAAGGTATGAAGGGGCACCTCATGGCTGCCTGAATGGGGATGAGGATCGGCCATATAGGGATTGGCCATATAGATCTCCTCCACCATAAATAAATAAATAAGGTTCTGAAAAGCTGAGGGGAGCCAAGAACAGCTCTGCATTTTGTGGCAGGGACGGGGTAAGACAGTACCAGCCACCTCCAGGTGCAACTGGCTCTAACATTGGATAGGACCAGCTTGAGAAGAGTGGCAAGGGGTTTCTTGGCACTCTTGCTGAGCAAGCCACAGGCCATGGGTCTATGTGTACACTGGGACCCATCATCTAGATTCGCATGTTGGTAAAACAAATCCAAAGACAGTCCGTTGGGTTCTAATCATGGGTCGCTTTGAAAAACCCTACCCACCATGAGTACCCCAGGCAGGGTTCACTCAACACAAAAAGTAACACTTCACTGTTATTGCTGCTTAGTTGCCGTGGTGTGTGAACCAGGTCTCTGAATTAGAGCCTTAGCACATCTAGCCTAGTTCTGTCAACACTGGTTGACAGCAGCACTCCAGATTCACTCAGGATTCCTTCCAAGCGCTTTCTGAAAATTCTTCTGCATGCAAAACGGCTTATCCACCACTGCACCACAGCCCCTTATTCTTGAACACAGCCGGGGGCCCAGCTGGATCAGACCAGAGGCTTATGCAGCCCAGCACCCTAATCACAGTGGCCTGCCAGATATCTCTTGGGAAGCCCACAAGCAGGGAAGGGGGGCAATATCAAGCTCCCACATACTGTATGTCTCCCCGCAACTGATATTCAGAGTCACAGTGCTTTTGAGCATGGTTCAGTCCTAGGCCCATTCCTCTTCAACATCTTTATCAATGATTTCAGTGACGAAATGCGAGGATAGATAATCAGATTTGCAGATGATACAAAACTGGGGGGAATAATGAACACCCTGGAAGGCAGAATGAAGATCCAGGGCAATCTTGATAAACTTGAATGCTGGGCTGAAAGCAACAGAATGAGGTTCAATAGAAATAAGGGCCAAGTCCTTCAACTAGGAAAAACCCCCAAATGCATCAATACACTGTGGGAAATATGTGGCTCAGCAACACTGAAAAGAAAAAAGACCTTTGAGTTGTTGTGGACAACAGGCTAAATATGATCCAACAATGCAATATAGCTGCAAAAGGGCAAATGCTATTTTGAGATTCATTAATACAAATATTACTTCCAAATCATGAATAGAAGTATTGCTTCCAGTAATTCCCCTATGCCCCTCACTAGTCAGAACTCTTCTGGAATACTGCGGCCACTTCTGGTCACCAAGATTTAAGAAAGATGCAAAATAGAAAGGGTCCAGGGGAGGGCCACAAAAATGATCCAGGGTTTGGAAGCATTGCCCTATGAGGAGAGACTGAGAGAACTGGGTATCTTCAAGCCTTAAGAAGAGAAGACTGAGGGGGGACATGATATCTCTCTAGAAGTATCTCAAAGGTTGCCACAAAGAGGAAGGTCGCAATCTCTCCTTGCTGATACCAGAGTTCAGGACATGGAATAATCAAGTCAGGCTGTGACAACCCAGATTCAGGCTAGATATCAGAGAAAGTTTCCTGACTGTCAGAACAATACAACAGTGGAACCAGTTGCCTAGTTGTCCAGTTGCCCACACTAGAGACATTCAAAAAGAAAATGGGATGGTGTAAACTGGTGTCCTGCAGCAGCAGGGGATTGGACCTGATGGCCTCCCTGGTCCCTTCCAACTCTATTATTCTATGATTCTATGGAGATACTATAAGGACTGCTATCATGACCAGTAGCTCACAAATAGTCTTCTCCTTCATTGATTTAAATACCCTTTTAAAGACATCCAAGTTGGTAGCTTATCACAAGAGGAAGTTTTTCCTTGTGTCTGCCCTAGCTTCACTGAATGAAGCCAGGTTATAGCCTTCTGAAAGAGGAGAACTTCTCTCTCCAAACCATGCATGATTTTCTATTCCTCCATCATGTCCTCCTCAACCTAACTTGCACTTTTACTCATCCTAAAAATCTGCAAAGGTTGCATCTTTTCCTCACAGGGTGTTGGCTCAGACCTCTGACAATTCTGGTTGCCCCTTTCTGCACATGAAAACAGGTCCCCAGAAGAAATTAGTGCAGGATTTCTTATATCAGTGCTATGTGAAATGAAGCTGACACATATTCTTAAGTAGTGTCAACTGCGTGGCTCAAAAGTAGCGCTGCTCTGTTCCTCAGATAAGAGCTCCATCTCACCACTTCTGTACCTTTTGCAGGAAATAAGCAGGAAATGTGGTCTCAGTTGTCCTTGGCTATCATGAAGTGTTTTCTTTCATCTTTAACACCTGGCTACAGCACTGCCTCATCAACGGCTTTGTCCCGTCACCAGCTATCCAGGCAGAGGGGTAGTGGTGGTGAAATTAGCCTGAAGTATTAACATGTTTGCTTTTCTTTAATTCTGCACTTCAGAAACAGCTGCTACGATTGACATCTTGGTGGCCACCCCAATCCCAGTGCTGCCTATTGCCCATCATTAGTGTAATTGCAGAGTTTAATAGGCCCATTATCTCTCCTGTTAAAAGGTTCACAGCAACTCAAGATCGAGATGCTCTGAAGCATACCCATGTTGCTGGTGTAATGAGATGGAAACTGCAAATGGTTGCTTCTGTTTTTCCTCATCTTAAAGATTGAACGTGCTTAGATAGCAGAAATTTTGGCCAAGATGATGCTGGGGAGGCGGGGTGCTGCCCAAACTCATGTCACTGTGACCAGTTAAAGGGTTATAAATATGGAAAGGAGGAAAGGCAGAAATCACTCATTGTCTTTCTTCTTTGAACAACCTTCCATCCTTCTTGCACTATCCACCTGATTAGGTAAGTGTGCTTTCACCATCTCTCCGTAGTGCAACAGGCAGAGGGTTTAAAGGGTCTCAACTTGGATCAAAGTTCTGCTGAAGTGCTGTGCTCGTAGCCTGCTCTTAGGCAAATCTTTCAGTCCAGCTTCAGAAAAGTATTAACAGATGGACATGTGGTTATCGGCCATACTTTTCTTGTAATTCCCCAAATTTATGCCAGCATATCTTGCTTCCAGGCCAATGAAAAGAAGACTTCAGGAGATTCTGTAGCTGCAGAACAATGCTGGAGCCATTGTGGGCAAGAGTTAGAGATGCACAGATTTTTCATAATATACAGACAACTCTTAGCTGCCAGCCTGCATTGTTTGCTGGGGCACATGGGCTGGGGAGCCTTCCTGCCATTTGGTTTGGGAAGCAAAAGAGAAAGATCTATTCATTGCACTCACCGAATAGCTCCTTCCTTAGGAGCCAGGGGCAGTCCTTAGATCAGCAGGAGCTCTTCTCAGGAGGAAGCTGTTGACCTAAAGCATCAAGACCATTGTACTTTCCATCAGGAGGGCCTCATACAATGAGCAAGCAAGACTCACCAAAACTTGCTACTTATTTTGCTAATGGTTGGGACTTCCTTCCCTCTTACTGCGATACTGGTGCGATACTTGCGATACTGGTGCTCCAGAGGCAAACCTAACTCCACATGGGCTGCAACCCTCATTCTTTCTTGAGAGTAGCACATCAGAGCAAGCATGCAGGGGAAGGCCTGCCGTCCGTGGCTGAACCCACCTGATACCTGTTTCACAAATGCCCTGGCCAGTTTTGACTCATGCTTTTGACTGTGCACCAGTATCGCAGTGGGCCGTGCCGAGCCCAGCCGTACAGTTGGGGACACGGGCTTCTTGACTGGCAATGCCACATTTTAAGTGTACCTGGAAAATGGTTCAGTTGTACCTCTTTTAAAAACTGAGTGGCCTGAGTGATCTTGTGATCAGAGTCATTTTTTACAATAAGCACTTTCCCGTTGAATCCAAGTGTTTCTATAGAGCACAGGGGGTGGAGGAAAGGTGTTTCAACCTGACAGTATTTTTAAGGTAGAGAGAGCTTGTAATGTAGTTGCAGCTTTCTTTCTCTCCTGCCTAACCCCGTTTTCCCACCCCACCCTCTTGTTCCAAGGTCTTGCCTACATCACCATGGCTCTTTGGATCAGATCGCTGCCTCTCCTTGTGCTGCTTGCCGTCTTGGCTCCTACAGCTATCTACACACAAGAAAACTACGAGCATCTCTGTGGCTCTAGTCTAGTGGATGCGCTTGTTAAAATATGCGGAGAACAGGGCATCAATAAGCGGAACATCGAGCAGTCCCTAGGTAAATCTTCTGATCTCCTAAACAGCACTGGCCACAAAGTTTAATCCTGTGATTTCTGCACTGGGCTCTTAACCTTGAAAGATGAGAACCTTTGTGGACCACACTGCCTCGATATTTTCTCAATGACATGGATAATAATGGGCTAAGTTCCTAGGCAAGATGTTTCAACATGATGGTAGAACAATTTAAGAAGAGCAAGGGGTAAAAGATTCTCCTCAAATAATTCACTCAGTAATCAATGAAATTAGAAATGTCTTTCTTTGCTTCATTGCTTTACCTGTTCTCTAGCTGATTCATGAATATTTTACTTTCAAAAAGGTAGTTTTAAATGGATAAATATCCAAGAGGCCAATATCTAAGGGAGCGAGTCCTTAAAGCTATTTTGAACTAATGGATGGTTTCTGAGCTATTTTCAAAAGTAGCCCCACATATGATACATTGCAGTAATCTAACTGTCAGGTTACCCAAGTGTGGATAACCATCATCCTGCCATCTCTGTTCAGATGGGTTAGTAGCTGGTGCATCAACTTAAGCTGTTAAAAGATGCTCCTAGCCATGATGCCATCTGGACCTCAAGTGCCAATGAAAGATCCAACAGGCTGTGCTCCTGCTCTTTCAAGGGAAGTGAAACTTGGGATAGGCTGAACTCTGCTCAGCTGGGTGGATAAAGAGCCACCTGCAGAGACTGGAAAAACTGGCACTACCAAAGCCAAGAGAGACGCAACAGCTGTTAAACAAAGGAAAAAGAGTTATCCTGGCCCACTTTGCTCCACCTTTGGGGAATCTTTTAAGGGCCCAGTCTTCCTAGAGGCTGAAAAACAGTCAAATGTCAAATACATTCCATTATTACTTTATTTGCTGACCTGGTTCACATGATCTGGTGATCTCTGGTTAATAAACCATGGGCTTGTTTGTGAGTTCACACAGGAATGTTTTGGTTCCCACTGCTTGTTTGCTTCCACTACCTGAAACAGCCAAGAAAGCCCCATTCTTGGGTTGCTGTCAGGAGCTGCGAACCTGGCACTCTGCTTGTTTTAACCAATTTGGTGTGGCCATGCCAATTCCCCAATGGTTGAAACCAGGCACTGACGTTACAGGCCAATTTCTGCTTTCCATGTGGCACATATAAAGTGCTTATTGGCAGTTATGAAAGGGAGTTAAGCTATTGAATTTAGCATGTCTCTTTTGCTTATGGATATATAACTTGCATAATGTGCACATTATGTTTCCCAGATTAGTGGGGAAATGATATGGCTACCCTCAAACCGATACTGAGAATACAAAATATCCCATTCAGTTTCAGTTAGTTGGCTCAAAGCAGAGTAACCTAGTGCCACAATTCTGGATCTCCAGCTCAGATATTAGATAGTCACAAGTGCTCTGGGCACTTTTTACTGTACCTGGTTGCTTGGCAAAATGGACAAGTCTCTGGCTCACTTATTTGCCTGGGCGATTGGTAAAACTGTCAAAATACTTCTCATGCACAAGTTCCCCCTACACATATTAACATTGTCTAAAATCATACCTAAAGCCCTGAGCCCTTACTAGCTGATTTGCTTTTTTGTTGCATTTATAAGCTGAATTTCCAGTGAGGACCCCAACAGTGCATTTATCTCCTCCTCCTCTCCATTTTATCCTGACAAATACCCTGTGAGAAAATTTAGGTTGAGAGTCACCCAGTTAACTTCATGGCCAAGTAGAAATTGAGAACCCTCCCTAGCCCAGCACTCTGGCCACTGCTTAACATGCCACCTTTCCCTAAGCTGGCTCAAAAATATCACAGAGCACTAGCTGCAAGATGCTTGTCAGGGCTGGCCCTGCAGTTCAGCAGAGTGAGTCAGGTACCCCAGGGAGCCAGCGCTTAGGGGGGTCTGCTACTGCAGCTGCATCACACACCTTCCATGGAGTCCAGTTAGGCCCAGTGCATGGAACGGGGAGGATGGATTGTGCCTTATCTTGGGCCCAAGCAGGCACTGTGGGTGGGCATGGGTAGGCCATTGCTGAGGGCCCACCCTGAAACACAGGCCCTCTGAAAGGAGGGCCCAGAACTTGCTCCTCCTCCTCTGTGCTCCCATCTGCTGGTTGACCCGCGGGGAAAAGCAAGAGGAGCAAATGCTCCAGCTACGTACCCACCATCTCTCCGCCTGCCAAGCAAGCCAGTGGTAGCTGTGGCAAGGAAGAGGGTGAGGAGCAGCCGGAAAAAGTGGCAGTGAGAAGGAAGATTTGCTGCCAGAGGGGGGTCCTTGCGGGTGTCTTGCTCCAGGGCCCTCGAATACCTGGAGCCAACCCTGTCCTGAAGCAAGTTAGTCCCCCCAGACCACATAGCTATACTGTGTACATTATCGAGCATGCATTAATGCTGGTATTTTCTCCATCTGGCAGTGGATATGCTTTTAGGCAATAAGGTGCCCTTTCACCTGGCGAAGAGAGGAATTGTGGAGCAGTGCTGTGACTCGATCTGCTCCCGCGCGGATCTGGAGACCTACTGCAAGTAGAAGAGGAAGAACGACCGTGCACGGCTGGAGAGGAAAGCACTTTGCTAAAGCACCTTCCTACTAACGGAATAAAAATCCTCTGATTGAATCTCTGCAATGATTACATATTGATACAGAATGATATTCCTTCTTAACATTATTTACTTTTATGAGCATATAATCTATCATTTCTCCCACACTCTCCAGACACAAATATATGTACTGTGCTTGCAGGGAATGCAACAGTGAAGATTCTATTGGCTTATTAAATGTATTTTCTGCACCCTTACTTGCAGCTGTGCCATCAGTACTACAAAGCTCTTTTGTGTCCTGTGGATGTGGTCCTTCTCAAAGAAAAATGTAGTGGAACATGAAAAGGAACCTTAGAATCATAAGCACGGTTTTAAATGCCAAATTTAAAAAGAAGTGTCTCAACTAGGGATGTTAGAGAAATCCACAATGGACTCCAAGAAGTCTGGATTTCTTGCAGTGCATCTGGTGGATTCTGCAGTGGACTAGCTTCCCCAGCTCATGTGGAGTCCATGAGGCCTCCACACTGACTTTTTAATTTTGCATATTTTTGCACAAATTTTGCCACAGAAAAACACATGGTTAAAAATAACCAGTAAAAATACACAAATTCCTCCCTAGAGCCATGCGTGAAGATAATATGTTATGTGGGGATTTGTACATTTTTTGTGAGCACAATTTTTTCCCTAATGCATGCAAATGCATATGGGCAAATTTCAAGCCTGAAAATGGGCAGATGGCAGAGTGAAAGTGTCCCCCAGAACCACAAATGGCTCGAAGAGTGGCTTTCTCTCCCTTTGCACATCTCTAGCCTTGGCTCTTTGCCTGAATGCAGGGAAGGGAAGTGAGGACCAGTTGCAACTTGAGTGCATTCCGGGGTTTGGAAGCAGTGCATGAGAAAGCGCTTTCCCTGCATACCTGACCAGCAGGCTTCTGTAAGTGGGGAGGGGACTTCAAAGGGGTCTTTGATGCTGATCTTAATAAGTGGGCAAGTTTGTGCCAAGACAGGCAGTTATTCAGATAGGCAAACCCTAAAGCCATTCTCAACTGGAAAGTTAAAACCAACACCTTTAACCTTTAAAGGTTAAAATCGGCCCTCAGAAAATCACTGGCAGCCAGTGCAGATAAGTCGATATTGGGGTGATGTGATCAGGAACCTGCACATAGAACATAGAAACAAAGCGAGTCAGAAGGGGCCTCCCGGGCCATCTAGTCTGACCCTCCAACTTCAGCCGGCTCTGTTCATGACATGCCCACCATGTGCATGTCTAGCCTATCCTTGAACACCCTCACCGATGGGGCCTCAACCACCTCCTGTGGAAGCCCATTCCACACCCTCGGGGTCCTGACTGTCAGGAAGTGCTTCCTGGCAGCCAAACTGAACCTTGGTTCCCTGAGCTTGGCTCTGTCGGAGCATGTCCTGCCCTCCTCTGCAGGGAAGAATAGGTCTCTACCTCATGGGTTAGCAGCTTACCCTCAGTATCTGTCTTTGTATTTCCCACATGGTGATTTCCATAATGAACACTCCTCTGCTTGACTGAGTGCTCACACAGCCTTTGAGAGAACTCAGGCAAAGCTATCCTTTCCAAAGGCCCATGTCCTACCATACTGGAAAATGGTCTTGGTATCCTAAGAGAGGTGCTCTCCCTCGCCCTTCAGCAGTATATCTACTGGAAAAAAAGATGACACCTGCGACTTCTGCAGGACGGGTGACTGTGCAGGTGCTGAAAGGACTGGGGGTTTTCCAGGAGTGGTTGAGGCAGCCATCTGAACTGGTAGCTTCTTCAGACACCTGCAGCCTTCCTACTATATGAAGCCTCTTTCACTGCCCCTGTGCAAACAAGCCCAGATGCATCCATGCTCCATTAAGATGAAAAACACGTGTTGTTTTGTTTTTAAAACAAACCCTGCATTGCTGAGTTGAGCAAATTTCCCAGGGCAACCGATTTTCAGGACTAATATTAACATGAAGCAACATGTATAGCTGTCATTTACTGCTCATTTATCCAATCACACCAAGGGAAATTTCAGGTAGACCTTCAAAACCTTTCCTAGTGGCAGTTTATTCTCATGCATGGGGTTTTTCAGCATGCTTACAAGTACTTAGAATTAAAGAGAAAGACAATACCAGCAGCTGCCAGGCACTTTGGGTTACATTCCTAGCATATTGAAAGTGTTTAGATACCACAGGGATGAGTACGTTATAAATGCTAGGAGACAACATTTTAAAGCTGGCATCATGATCACATAAGAATATGTGGGGCAGCTGCATTTTAATAACATTCTTGAGGGCACAAATTAGCTTCCTAAGCACATTTGCTGTTCACATTGCTTGTTTTGATCTGGAGAACAAAATTATAAAGATTTCAACGTTATAGTAGTATTCCAAGGCTACGAACAAAAGCACACAGTGAGACAGTCTCTTCTCTTTAAAATGGAGCGGCTGCCAGGAATCTGGAAGGGCAGGAAATATGACAGTATTATGCCGATGTGTTCATTTCAAAAAAATGAGTGATGTTTTCACCATTTCAGTTGCATTTGGGGGTTGGTCTTTCTTCCTTCCTTCCTTCCTTCCTTCCTTCCTTCCTTCCTTCCTTCCTTCCTTCCTGTTTTTTAAAAGAGAAACGGATCTATTTTGATTTGGCAGTAGTTCATGTAGATAAAGAAAAAGTCTGTGGAATGAACAGCAATTTCTCTCACACATTTTTGGGGTGGGGAAAAAGCATCTCTAAATGTTAGGAGGTTCTGATAGCTATTAATCACACATGCCTGAGCATCCCTATGCTTCAGCCTTGTATCTCTGAGAAATGCCTGCATCTGGGTGGTCATGGAGGAGTTCAAAACTAAAAGAAAAAAACTGGTGATAATATTTCACCTTTTCAAGCATACATATAAGTACTTATCAGTTGGAAAGACAAGCTGTGTGCCTGTTGCCCTTACATTTTTGTCTGTACGCATGGTAGTCCCGACTCCTCTCTGTCTGGAGAAGGTAAGCTGAAACAGTCGAGGCCTCAGTGTGGATATATATATATATATGGAGGTCTCCCTTTTGGTGTCGGAATGACAGCCATTTTATTAATCTCAGTCAGCTGGAGAGATCCTGAGGCACAACAGGTGGAAAATAAGACAATGTCCTCTTCTCCAAAATACAAAGGCACAGGAGAGTCATTCCATTAACATAGACAATTGTTAACCTGATAGTTCCACCCCCAGACCCCTCCTCGGAAGGATCAGTGGCCCTGTATAGGGAAGGAGGGAGGCGTACCTCTGTCCCCCCCACACACAAACCATGCCGCACAAAACTGATCATTTGTAATTATGCTACACAATAAGCACCTGCATTTCTTCCCATCACACTAGTTTTACATGGTTTTTAAATAAATGATCAAACATTTAGCTGTATTAGGCATATGAACCAAAAACACAGAAAGGTGACCAATTGACTTTTTAATATGGCTATAGTTGGTTTTAAAGGTCACAGTTTTTGTACAGTGTAATCTGGAATCGATCCAAGAGTAGACTTTTTAGATGTGAATTAATTTTTATCCCCTCCTCTTCCCACACTTCTGAAATAGAATGGAAAAAGGTGAGCCCGCCAAGCTAGTGCCTCCTCCATATGTATCTGTCAGATCTTTGTCTCAGTTTTGTGCTCTTTGTGCCACAAATCTCAGGTTTTGTGCTGCCAGCCACAGCTGTGCCCTGAGGCATCAAAAGTAGGCTCATATAAACATACACCAAACCCTGGCCTTGTCACATCACCTGCAAAGCATGCTAATTATTGTGCCGTTTTGTGTAACTAATCCCAAGCTCTGTGCCACCATGCGAGGCATGGCAATGACACATCGTTACGATGCAAACCAGTGGGGAATGCCTGGAAGCCTCTGAGGGTCGTGGGCGTTTGGACCATCCTCCTACACAGGGTGGAAGCAGGGAGGGTGAGTGGCGATCCTCACCTCTTCTCCCCTCTCGCCCTGCAAATCAACTAGACAGCTGATGTACTCGGTTCTGGCAGATCTGGACGCGTCCCCTGCCCACCCCCCAGAATGCCACTTCGCCCCTTCTTTGAGGCGAGTCTCACGACCTCAGAAACACGGCAGTGTGGCTTTTCGCACACCAGCTGGGAGAGCGGCAGCTCCAAGTTGGGTCTTGTTTGCAGCCTTGAAGCTGGGGATCGGAATGACGCTATGGCCCTCCGGATGCCATGGCCTCACTCCCATAGGTGCTCTGTTGTGACTTTGTTTAGCATTCACCTTGCCCTACCTAAGACTATACCATTATCACACTTTTGGTGGTGGCAAAAAGCTCAGCATTGGTGTCATAGAAGAGCACAAAACTGTGGTGTGGTTTTGGAGGTAAGATGAGAATCTATTTTGCCTTCACTGTGCTGCATATAACAAGGTGTGTGTGTGTGTGTGTGTGTGTGTGTGTGAGAGAGAGAGAGAGAGAGAGAGAGAGAGAGAGAGAGAATTGGGACTTCACACTGGACATATCAATGCGCAGCATGGATGTTGGTACAAGATTTGGGATAGGTGTCACGTAACTTTGGCATGTTTGCAGAGAATAGAGTTTGCAAGGGAGCTTGTGGAGTTCTCAGAACTGTGAACAAGAATGGATGTGGCATTAACATCCTGGTTAGGTTTCAGAGGCCAGAGCAAAGTCTATTTTGTTCTAGTTCAGCATAAGTGATATTGATAACCTTTAGCCCTTTGGACAGCACTGGGACACTGGTTGGAACACCACATCAGAGGGGCTGATTCACTCTCCTGCTGGAGGAAGCAAGGAGCCATGTGTGTTGCGACTGCTGGGAAAGGCCCACAGAGAGCACAAGCTTGCCCACCCCTTGAGTGGCAAAGCACCATCCCCACCCACACAGTTTGTCTTGGCTCCTTCCTGGAACTTGGATGGAACAGACCATCGTGTATCTGGGCACCTCTTTAACTTTCTTGATTGATAAACTGCTTGTACTTTCTGCCTGAGTTCAAGCCAGCAGG